CTATTCTATTCTATTCTATTCTATTCTATTCTATTCTATTCTATTCTATTCTTCATTCCAATATCTATTCTATTCTACTCTATTCTACCCTATCCTATTCTGTTTTCTCTTCTATTCCATTTCATTCCACCTATTCTATTCTATTCTATTCTATTCTATTCTATTCTATTCTATTCTATTCTTCATTCCAATATCTATTCTATTCTATTCTACCCTATCCTATTCTGTTTTCTCTTCTATTCCATTTCATTCCACCTATTCTATTCTGTTCTGTTCTGTTCTGTTCTGTTCTACTCTCTTCTCTCTCTTCTCTCCTTTTCTCTTCTATTCCATATTTCTCTTCTGTTCTATTTTATTCCATATTTCTTTCCTCTCCTCTCCTATTAACTTAACAGTGATTCACTTAACAAAGGTGGCAAGAAAGGTCGTAGAACGGAACAAAACTCACTTTAACAACTGTCTTGTTTAGCAACAGGAATTTTGGGCTCAATTATGATCATGGGTCCAGGGTTGCCCATTATAATATTTCTAATATTTTTCTTCGCCCCTTTCGGACGGCTTGACTGAATGTAATTTTTTTCTGCTTCCTGAGAAATAAGCAGCAGGGGAAGGGAGTTTGCATGGAGGCAACACAGTAAATCCCTTCGATGGCCGTGGCAAAAAAAAATACCAAACAAAGAGCGACTTCTTGGAAATTGAATTCCTGTTCTCCAGATGTCAAAGACGTAACGCCCTCAATTACATCGACTTCTGCTAAGTGAAGCACGCCGGCAAATATGCAAAATAAATACGAGTTAAGCAAAGAGCTGCAAGATGCACACTCAGCGTTGGTTTTCCGGGTGAGTGACAATTAGCACCATTTGCATCTTACAATTGAACGATTTTTTTTTTTTTAAAAGCAAATGTTAATAAAAGATATGCCGGCAATCTGCCCCGCCAAATAATGATAAGAATAATAATAAGAACGCCAAGTCTTTGGAAAGGACTGGCTATCGAAGAGCAGACAATGTTTCTGGTTGTGCAGATCCACATTGTCACTCACACACACACACACACACTCACACACACACACACACACACGTCGTTCGCTCTGCCCCAACGTAAGGCTTGGAAATTAAACCCCATGACAACGTACCTAAATAAAGTGTTTGTATTTCTTTGGCATTGCCGTTCACATCGTTGCTGTAATCTGGGATCTTGTAAACCTCCGGATGATAATCTGCAATTTGAAAAATAAATAAAAGAAGTAAGGAAGCTGTTGTGGTTCACCGGCAGCGGAATTGGACACTGGGGAAGAAGGGGGGACCAGTCCAGGAGTCTGGAGAGGAGTCAGACAAGGGTCCTGCATCCAATGCAGAGATGGGGCCAGGACCATCTGGGAGTGGGGTGCTGACTTTGGAGCCTCCGGAATCTGACAGCAGCAAGGCAGAGGAACAGAGGGAGCCTGTTCCTAGTGCGTATGTGTGCATAGCTGCCAGAAGACGAGACCAACTGAAACAAAAGGGGCCACTCGGGAGTAAGGCTGGGAGGTGATGGCCCCTCCCATAAAATATAAAAGTCAGGCCAAGATGACGAAACCTTTGCAGGAAGCAAAGTCATTCAATCGGTTCCAAGTCATCTTTGAAGCTCTGTGTACTTCGGTTGGTTTCTTTTATAGTTAATTGGATATTTCTGTTTTTGGCAGCATGCCACAGAACTGAAAGGTGTGTGCTTATCTTGGGGAACTGTGTGAGATTAGTTCTGGCTAGGAATGAAAACAATTCCCAGTGTTGCAGTAAAATAGGTTTTGCTTTTAAAACAAGTTTGTGATTAATTACAATTTACGAAGCCTGGCTCAGAACAGGAAGTAACTCAGAGCAAGGGAGATAGGGAATTCAATTAATGTTGAGCGCATGACTGGATAGGTGTCTCATAAGTTACCGCCGCATCTTTGTTTTACCTGGTGCAAATTGGGGGAGAAACACACACTAAAGCAGTTCTGATTAAAAATAAAAGGAGGGAGTTCTTGACTTACAACATTTCGTTTAGTGACCATTCAAAGTTACAATGGCATTGAAAAAAATGACAACTTATGAACATTTTTCACACTTATGGCTGTTGCAACATCCCTACCATCAGGTGAGCAAAATCTAGACGCTTGGCAACTGCTTCGTATTTATAACTGTTACAATGTCCCAGGGTCAAAGTCAATAGGGAAGTTGGATTCATTTAACGACCGTGTTGCTCATTTAACTGCAGGGATCCACTTAACAACGGTAGGAAGAAGGATCCTAAAATGTGGCAAAACTTGACAAGTGTCTCCCTTAGCAACGGAAACTTCGGGCTCAGCTGTAGTCGTAAGTCGAGGACGACCTGTATCACAGAAGCTATGGGCGCATTTTATTTGATGCAAGAAAAACACGCAGGGTGGCAGTTCTCCTTAGAAATGAAAATAAAACCTTCGACTCATGTTAACCGAAATACCTTAAGTATTTCTTCCACCAGCTTCAAGGGATGCTCTGCTCATTTGCACAGTAAATTAACACCCCGGGTTGCCAACTCTTGAGGTCTTGCCTTCACAATTTGGAGAACACGAAGCTGCGACTTAGAATGACAGAGTGGGAAGGGACCCTTTGAGGTCTTCTAGTCCAACCCCCTGTTCAGGCAGGAGACCCTATAGCATTCCAGACAAGCGGCTGTCCAGTTTCTTCTTGAGAACCTCCATTGATGGAGGACTCACGACTTCTGAACCCAAATTGTGCCACTGATTTAATTGTTCTCACTGTCAGGTAATTCCTCCTTAGTTCTAGGTTGCTTCTCTCCTTGATCAGTTTCCATCCATTGCTTCTTGTTTGCCTTCTGGTGCTTTGGAAAATAAGCCGACCTCTTTTTTGGGGTGGGGCAGCCCCTCAAATATGAGAAGTCAGCTCTCTGGTCACCCCTGGTCCTTCTCTTCACTAGACTGGACATTCCTGCAACCGTTCTTTGTATGGAAAGTTTGCCGGGCTTATTAAAGACCAGCGGAGATCTGCAAACCTCTCTTTGCAATAAAACTCAGTGGGAGACCCAAAGAATCTCTTTGCCTTTTTAAAAAAATTTTTTTTGGAAAGGCTGCCAACGAGCCTCCAGCTCATCGGTGGAAATTAACAGCAATCTCCAATAAAACTCCACACAGAAGGGCAAAGTCAAGGCTTCCTTTCCACTGAAGGAAAAGTGACTCGGTTTACTGTTAATTAAATGGGATAATTAACAGTAACGTGCACTAGAGACAAAAGAGAATTGTGCCCCTACTTTGGAATGTTGTTTGTGGCTGCAGGGGTTATGTTTAAACCTCCAGCGTTTTTCAAAGGTGCAGGGTCTGCTAAATATCTAGTGCATCTCCTGGAAGTCCAGTTGCACGACAGAATTATACAATTATATTTTAAAATAGAGAATACTATTTTTAAATGGGAGGGACCTCGGGTAGCCGTTCTCTTTGGATAAGTTGTATGGACAGCAGGTCGGAGAAGACGATTAAAAACTCTCGCTTAGTTTAGTCTAGTTTACTTTCCTTTATTGTCACTGCACCTCGCACAACGAAATCAAACCACCATCTTCGGTGCACATCGTGACCATGAAAATAAACACAAAGACACATCCTTCACACATTGAATTGCAAACCCACAACACCGCACCCAACACTGCACTAAACAGTAGAATTCAATTGCGTTATTGCCTCGGGATAGAAGCTGTTTTTTTCAGCCTATTTGGCCTTGTTTTTCTTATCCTGAGTCTCCCCATGCCTGTCAAAATCCCTGTGCTTCTCTAGGAATCTGGCTTAGGGAATAAAGACAGTCGGATAATAACCGGAGTTGGAAGGGACCTTGTAGGTCATCTAGTCCAACCCCCCGCCCAAGCAGGAGATCCTGCACCATTTCTGACAGATGTCAGTCCAATCTCTTCTTGAGAGCCTCAAGGGATGAAGCTCTCACCACTTCTGAGGGCAACTTCTGTTCCCTGGGTTGATAGTTCTCACTGTCAGAAAATTTCTCCGTATTTTCAGGATGAATCTCTCCTTGGTCCATGGTTCCTTGTCTGGCTTTTGGGTGCTTTGGAAAATAGCTTGACCCCCTTCTCTCTGTTGCAGCCCCTCCTCAAATATTGGAAGACTGTTATCCTGTCTCCCCTGGTCCTGCTCTTCACTAGACTTGCAACGGTTCATTTAGTGACCAAAGTTACGACGGCACTGAAAAAAGCGACTTGTGACCGTATTTTTTCCACTTATGACCGTTGCAGCCTCCCCCTGGTCCCACTGATCAATATTCAGAGGCTTGGCAGCCAATTCATATTTGTGAGGGTCACTGGATCCTGGGGTTACGTGATTCCTTTCTGCGACCTTCGGACAAGCAAAGCCGGATTCACTTAACAACCAGGGGACTAATTTTAATAACTGCAGGGATTCATTTAACCACAGTGGCGAGAAAGGGGGTCAAACAGGGGTCAAACTCTCCCCCAGCAAATGTCCCACTTAGCAACGGAAATCTTGGGCTTGGATGGTAGGCCAAGGGCTCCCTGTACCCATTTTTTACGACCACTTTTTATCACGATTAAATCTCGGTCACACTCAGGATGCCTGGCTATTGTTATCATCCCTCTTTTCATTTGCATTTGACGTTTCCACAACCTGAAAGATGTAGATAGTCCTCGATGGACAAACAGTTCATTTAGTGACCGTTCAAAGTGACAATGGTCCTGAAAAAAGAGAGTTACGGCCATTTCCCACCCTTATGACCGCCGCAGCATCCCCATAGGTCACGTTCGAATACTTGGCACGTGGATCGTATTTACGATGGTCGCAGGCGTCCCCCGGGGCCTCGCAATCCTTTTGAAACCTTCAGACAAGCCAAGTCAAGAAGGGAAGTCAGATTCACTTAATGACCATGTGGCTCGCTTAACGATGACAGCGCATTTCGCTTAGGAAATGTGGTGTCGTGCCCCTGTTGGAGGCTGACTCTGAGGGAAAGGAGGAACAGCCGACAAGGAGCGGGAGTGTGGCTCCAGAGGTTGTGGAGGAGGCTGGGGAAGGGCAGAGGCCGGCTGGGCAGTCAGAGGAGGACCCAGGCCCATCCCTGCTCCATCCTAGGGCACGCAGGGAGGAGAGGATAAGGGAGAGACGTGGTCTCCTCAGGAGGAGAGGGCCTTGATCCTCTTCATGGGCTGCAGCTGTGACAACTGAATAAGAGGATGGACAGGCATACGGGCAAACGCTGGAAACAAAGCATGTAAATATCTCTAGTTTATGGTTCCTCTCTGAATTTGGCGTCCTTCCGAGTGCGTATTATCTGTGGATGTCCTCCAGCCCTTATACTTGCCTGGTTTGTGTTGCTTTTTTCCTTCTTCTTGTGACTGTTTGTGTGGGAGTGTTTTTTGTCTTCCGTCAAAGATATTTGGAGCTTGGAAGCAAAGTGAAGGAATAAAAGGGGCTTCACCTGTTTTCTGTGACTGTGTTTGTTTTGTATCCCACTCTGGGCCATCACACGTGGCGAGAAAAGTCATGAAATCACTTCACAAATTTCTTGCTTAGCAACATACACCGTGGTTGTAAATTGAGGACCAGCTGCCCTGCCTTCTGGAAAGCACTCGCTTTGCTTTTATTTTATTGGAGTTAGGCGGCATTTAGTATTCCCACAGAAACCCCTTGTAAATCGCAAAGCCAGCAGGACAAATCACGACCTTAAATCGGAGCAAACTCAGTTTAGGGTTGAAAGAACGGCCTTCCTCCCCTTCAGGTAGTCCTTGGTTCAGGACCACAATCAGATCTGGGACTTTCCACTTAACCACCGTCTCGCTTGGGAACAGAACTTTTGGGCACCCTTGTCATAAGTGGAGGACTACCTGCATAATGTAGCCAGGAAACGCTATTATTTAGTATATTTCAAGCCTAAATCGCCTCCCTTGTCAGGACACGTCAGATTATTTCCAAGAATGGACATATACAGAAATAAAAAGAATAATAATAAAAAATAAACGAGCAATTCAGGTTGGTTCAGGATGCACATCAAAAGATTAACCGAGCCTGTTTATTTATTTACTGTCTCTGGCACTCACTTACCTGCCATGAATCCTTTTAAAACACTGTGGCTGTTTCATTTAAGGCTGTAGCTCTGCGTGCTACACTCCACATAATTTATGAGTCAGTAAAGGAGCAGGACACTGCCTCTTATTTTTCGGAGATACTACAGTTTGGGGCCCGCAAGCGAGGCCGTGTGTATCTGTTGAAGTGACAGCAAGCAAGGATGGCCTCTGACACTCTGCCTATGATTCAAGGAGAAAAGGCCTGGCCCTCTGCTAAGGAAAGGCTTGTGAAGGCACAACGGGGGGGAAAATACATGCTCGTTTGTGCAAATTTACAATACGATAGAATAGAGAATAGGATAGGATAGATAATACAATAGAACAGGGAATAGAATAGAATAGAATAGAATAGAATAGAATAGAATAGGGAAAAAGAATAGAAAAGAAAAGAATAGAATACAGAATAGAATAGAAAATAAAAAAAATAGAAATCAGAGCAGAACAGAATAGAATACAGAATAGAAAATAGAATAGAAAATACGGAATAGAATAGAACAGGGAATAGAATAGAGCAGGAGAATAGAATAGAGAATAGAATAGAACAGAAAGAACAGAGTTGAATAGAATAGAGAATAGAACAGAAAATAAAAAATAGCATAGAATAGAATACAGAATAGAAAATAGAATAGAGTAGAAAATATCGAATGGAATAGAAAATAGAATAGAAAATGGAATAGAATAGAGCAAGAACTTTATTGTCACTTTGAATACATACTAATCAGCATACATTAAAATGAAATTTCATTGCATTCAGCTCTCAAAATGTCACCAAGCTCCAACATGCACTACATAAACATGACAAAATAAATACAGAATTATCCATATAAGCTGCATATATTATACGATGCAGAAAAAACTACAGGAGAAAAAGGAGCAGCCCAGAACATCTCTGGCATTTTCAAAGCCTCGTTTCTTTTAAAACAGCAACAACAACTGCTAAGCCTTCATTTAGTTTCGGTTTCAAAAGGAATCCCCCCCCTTCCCCCGGATTATGATAACTGGACGGTCTGCAGACAATTTAAAAGCAAGATGAAATGCTCGGCGGACATAAAGTATTTTATCTGAGCATTCATTTTGTTTTCTTACGAAGAAATGATTCCTCAGGCCTTACCTGATGGGAAACCTATACTGTAATTAATCACAGCACTTTCTCTGCAAGGGCGCTGCTCGACTTACAACGGTTCATTTCGTGACCATTCAAAGTTATGACCTCACTGAACCAAAAGTGACTTACGACCTTCGTCACAGGATCGAAATTCAGACACTCGGCAACTGACTCGTATTTATGACGGTCCCAGAGTCCCCGGGGGGGGGGGGTGTCACGAGATCCCCTTTTGCTGACAAGCGAAGTCGGCGGAGAAGCCAGATTCACTTGAGAACCGTGTGACTAACTTAACTCTAAGGATTCCCTTAACAACGGTGGCAAGAAAGATCGTAAAACGAGGCAACACTCACTTGACAAATGTCTCGCTCAGCCACATAAATTTTGGGTTGAATTCCGGGTCCTAAGTTGACCTGTACATAATATACCTGCTTTTTTAAATCTACCTTCCACTGACACCATTTCATTTAAAAGTTGTGAAAGGAAACAGAGAGTTCATAAATAAACAGATCCGCGCTTTCCTTCTGGGAAGATTTTCACTGTCATTTTCTTAGATCGCTAACACCCAACAACGCAGCAACTGTGTTATAAACACAACCTTAGACTTGTTTTAGAAAAGCCAACATTTCAGGCGATTTTTTGATTCCTGGCAATAACGTTCTTTTCCTTTTTTTCTTTTTCCCTTCCCTTTTTCATTTGCTAAGATCCTGTTTGCCCTTATGACATATTTCCAAGAAAGAACCCGGGGCCCCCTATTAAGTATGAGTAACAATACTGGTGAACTGTGATCATGACACAGTTTAAACTCTCCATTTACCTGCCTTGAACTTAGCATGCAGTTCCTGGAGATATTAGTCTCCAGGCTCAGCCCTTCCTTTCCCCAGCCATGTTTGAAAGTCAGATTCAACTGAGTTTCAACCCCTCCACCCGACGAGAACACCTGTTATACAACGCAGAAAGGAAAAAAAAAAAAAAAGAAGTGGACCCCAGAAGGTTTTGCATGAGGTTTCCGGCTGGGCAAATCTCTCTATTTCCCTTCTGGAAAGAGAAATAGAAATAGAACTCCCAGCCACGGAGCCAAATTGCAACCATTTAACGGCCCACCTCGCCAAATTAAATTCGTCGGCGCTTTGCAGGGCGATGCCAATCCGTGCCAAGCCCCCCGGTGGGAGAGGAGGAGGAGGAGGAGGAGGAAGGAGGGCGCCGGGATCTGATTGAGATCCTTCCGGGAGAGTAGATCTTAAAAGAAAAGCGGATCTCCCCTTGCAAAACTCTGCGCGTGGGGAGGGGCGGGGGAAAGAGACCCCATATCTCCGCCTTTGAAACTTTACGGGGGGCAACGTTTGGGGGGGCCAAGGGGACCCCTAGAGGCAGCATCAGGGGACCCCCCCCTCCCTCGAGAGTCCCCTCCCTCCCCCTCCCCTCCGGGCCCGGCCAAGGACTCACCTGCATGGATGAGTTTGAAGCTCTGAGATTTCCTGCTGCGCTTCCTGGCCGAGAACTCCATGGCGCGCCGGAGGAGGAGGAGGAGAAGGAGGAAGAAAGGAAGAGAGGAAGAAAGGAAAGGAGGAAGAAAGGAGGCTCAGAAGGATCGCGGGGAGGAGCCGCCAGGACCGGGGACCCCCGCCGCCGCCGCCGCCGCCGAGCGAGGCCGAACCGGCTGCGGGGCTCTCATCGGCCCCGGCGCGCAACGGGCCGAGGAGGCGCCCCGGGGTTTGTGCTGCGCGCCCCGCCGGCAACTTTTGCCCAACGGCGCCTTCCCCGCCGTGGCATCCAGCCCAAACTTTGGCCCGGGCCGGTGTTGCTGCGGGAACCTCCTCGCCTTTTGCCTTCCTTGCTCGGGGGGACGGAGGAGGAGGAGGAGAAGGGCAGCGGCGCGGCCGGCCCGGCTTTGCCTTTGGCGAGGCGAGGCTCTTGTTGGCTGCGCGCAGGGCGCCGCAATGGCTCGCGGGTTGGCCCTGCCGGAGCTGCTGCGCCTGGGCTCCCGGTGCCACCTGCTGGGGGAAGCCGGCCTGCCAGGCACCACAGCGCACCCCGTGGCGGCTCCGGAGCCCGGCGGGGGCAGAGCTGAGGGCGGGCCCCGGCAAAGCCAACGGCGGGGTGGGTAGGTGGGAGAAGGGCGCTTACAAGGCGAAGGATGGAGAGGCCGGGCGCGCGTCTCTCTTTTACGCCCGGCCTCTCCATCCCGGGGACCTTGGCAAGACCCCAGCCCCGGCTCCCGTTTGGGCCGGCCGGGCGGGCCTCTTCGCGCGGGACCCTGGGGGAGTGTGGGGGGGCTGCTCCGGGGAAGAAAGACCCCCCCAACCCACGCCCCCCACCCAGGCAGGAACCGCGCGCGCCTTTCCACTCCCTCTCTCTCTCTCTCTCTCCCCCACCCCTGGCTGGCTGAAGAATTGGGGAGGGGAGGAAGGGGCGCGCTCCACGCGGGAGAGCCGTGCCCCCCTCCCCCCGAAGGGGATTTGGGGGTGCGCCCTGGCGAGGGGGGAGGGCTCCACGCGCTGGAAAACGCCCCCCCTTTCCAGGCGACCCCACTGGGCTATGGGGGGGGGGGGGAAGGGGGTCTTCCACGCCAGTTTGGATTCGAAGGCTCCGTTTCCGTGGGGTTTTCTGCAACCCCCATTAAAAAAAATAATAAGAAGAATCGAGTACACGTGTAAAGAGTCCCAAGGACGGGAGCTGCCGCCTGAAACAGCCCCTGCAAGGCGGCCCACGCGGGAAACCACGGGGAAGATACTTCTTGTTTGGGTGTGTGTGTGTGTATGTCTTGAGAAAGGACTTGGATGCACCGAGGGGGACGGGACGGAGGGTCCTTTGGGAAAGGGGTGCAAAGAAACTCGGGGGGTGGGGGGGGCTTGTGCCCACGTGTTTGAAGGGCCCGCCCTTTTTTTTTACACGTGTCTGAGCACACGCGCAACGAGGGCGGGCGTCTCTTAATGGTTTTTTTTTTTTTTTAAACTTCTGTTGAGATGCGAAATGTGCTTTTTCAGCAGGTTGAAATTCACTTCTCCGGCTGACTTTGACTCTCTGGAAATAGACAGAAGGGAGAGAAAAATGAAAGTCCTCGGTTTTTCTGTAAAATCGAAAGCGGGACCAAAATATTCAAGTCACATTTCCTGAAAGGCCCAGGAAATTTCCCGTCCTTTTCTCGCTCTCTTTCCCTTGGAGAAAGAAAGAAAAAGGACGAAAGAAAGAGGGAAATCTCAGTTTCTCTCTCTCTCTCTCTCTATCTGTCATCTATCATTTATCTTAATTTGTTAAATAAATAGTCAACATGCAAGCAATACACACAACACAACTGGGGAGAAAGGAAATTCAAGGAGACAATGTATCTTATATTAATCAAAACTAATTCATGGATTTCCATGTCATCAGTTACACTGTAAATGTTTTGATTCAGTTGACTTATAGATAAATGTAGCCCATTTTCTAAAATCCGGTCTCCAATCAACATTTCTCTGAAGAAAAGGAATAACTGCCCATTTTCCATATTTGAAAATAAATAAATAAAAAGGAACGATTCCACAGTTTGGAAGATAAAATAAGGTCTCACTTCTCATCTTATGACCTGCTGAAGAATTTGTTTTCTACAAAGGCATTTACAAATCCAGAATGAAAGGGGTGCACGTGAGAAACTTGATCAACAATGAAGTTATTTGCATGAAAAGTGTATTCAAATATTTCATCTGGCTTGAAGCACAGTGGTACATTGTTTTACACCCAGCGGGAACCAATGGCAAGGAAAGATGACATTTTTCAGAGATAGTATTTCGTAGAAAACAGGACCACCAATAAAATTAAAAAATGTACACCTTAGAGCAGCCGCTAAGATTAGATTGGGTGATGAGCACAATTGCCTTCAACACAATCAGATTCAAAAGATCAAAGCAATCATACTTCAAGGTCAACTAAATTAGTAATGATAACTTGAATTCTTCACTTGGAGCCTGAGCCAGATGTTATATTCTTTACCCTAAATGACTTCAAATGGATTCTTTTTTTGTTTTCGTTGTGTGGTTGCTGCAAATTTTCCAACTCTTTCCAGATCATAATTTTATTGCCCTCTCATCACCCCTTCTAATATAGGCCAGCCTTCATTTCTCATGACAATTGGCCTTCCCAGGACATTAAGGAGAATATGGTATTTTATACTTACACCTTATGAGCAAAGCAACATGGCTCTGAAACTGAAAAGCAGAGAAAAATGAACCTTGCCAAAAAGAGAAGCAATTTTCATTCTAATCTTCCTTCCTTCCTTCCTTCCTTCCTTCCTTCCTTCCTTCCTTCCTTCCTTCCTTCCTTCCTTCCTTCCTTCCTTCCTTCTATCTGTATGTATGCACGTATGTATGTATATATGTACCTACCTATCTATGTATCTCTCTCTATTGCTATGTATTTACTGCTATCTATCTGTCTGTCTGCCTGCCTGCATACCTACTTATCTACATCCATCCATCCATCTATCTACCTACCTACCTACCTACCTTTCTATATAGCTACCTACTGACCTACCTACCTATCTCTAGCTATATCTAATAAAGGAGAATATTTCCAGTTCAGGGTTAAACTGTGGGGTCCTTGGTGCATTCTGAGCTTGGTGGTTTTCTTGAAGACATTTCATGACCCATCATCAGGGCCCATCCCCGCACTCCCTTCTAGCATTGATGATGTTACCTAGTTGGGTTATCAAATGTCTGCAGAAAAACGACCAGGTTCAGAGAGCACCAAGAATCTCTCTCTCCCTCCCCCAATTTCTCTCATTGTCAGTCTGTCTCTCTCTCTCTCGGTCTATCATCTAATCTATCTACTATTATCCAGCCATTTATCATGTATTTTTCCACAGTTTGTATTACCAAACTAAACAAATTAAAAAAGAAAAGACAAAAGCCTCTTTCAGTTCCAGATACTATATTATTAGTCCTAAGAAACCCAAATCTTTTCTAAACTTAACATTGGTCATTAACAGACCTTTGTGTCTGTACTATATTCCTCATGGGTAAATTTTGGTCATTGCCTGAGGTTTTATTTTTTATTTTAGGTTTTTGGCGTAAGTACAAGTCTCTGAAATGAATACATCAAGCAAAGCCTGAGCTGCTTTGGGAGCAAATAAAAGCAGAACATGTTAAAGTGATTGATTGTTTTTTTTTCTTTTTGAAAACCTATATTTTCTGTGGTGTTTAAAATGCATTTCCTTAAATGAACATGGCAACCATTTCCTATTTTGGGTGATTTGTAGAAGCCTTTGAAGGAAAGAACTTTTTTAAAGTGACCATCTGCTTTTTGGAAAAGGAAGTCTCATTTTTTTTTTACAAGGTTTAAATGCTGACCTATTCAAATCTAATGGCTACAAATATCTATATATAAATAAAATACGATCGGCCAACTTACCATCACAAATAACGTGCCAATAATCTTAATACAACTGCGCAGACATATCCTAACTCTGTGTTTTTCCACCTGGGCAATTTTAAAACAACGGACTTCCATTCCCAGAATTGCCAAGGTAGAAAAACATGCCTCATTAAAATTGGCACTGCAGATCAGATACTTTAACGGATTAACAGAGTTAGAAGAGACCTTGTAGATCATCTAGTCCAACCCCCCCTCCCCAAGCAGGAGACCCTACACCATTTCTGACAAATGGCAGTCCAATCTCTTCTTGAAAGCCTCCAGGGTTGAAGCTCATGGATTGGTGGGAATTGAGCTGTAATTGAATATGGTGGGATGGAACTCTGGGCATGTGCAAAGTGTATTTTGTAATCAAAGTATTTATGCGGTGTAAAGGCCTGGTGTTCATGGCCAGGAGTGGGGAGTGAGGCTAACTCATGACAGTAACAGAGTTAGAAGGGAGCTTGGAGGTCTTCTAGTCCAGCCCTCTGCTGAAGCAGGAAACCCTGTACTATACTGGAGAAATGGTTGTCTACTCTCTTCTGAAAGCCAGCTGAGTAATTTGGAACGAGTCCTTTACTCTCAATCACAGGAAAGAGGAAGAAAGTGTATAAAACATATAAGGAAGAGGCATCTCATCTTAATTCCCTTCTGATTATTTTTTCCAAATGAACTGTAGAATGATTTATTTTTGTTCCAAATATTGGTAAGCAAATTTCATGGACTATTAAGACAGCAGAAATTAAGACTGCAGAAATTCAGGGGGCCACCAGAGGGCAGTACAGCGATGCAGAAAAAGAAATGCTACCACCTAGGGGTCATTCAAATTCATGCAGCAGGACAAAGCAACTTACATAAAACCTGATTTGGGATTGATTGGTGGGAGATAAGCAAATATGAAAATAAATAAATGCAGAATTTATTTACTGACCTGGGCTGTCCCTGTGAGTTATCTTAAGCTTTGGCTTGACTGTCTGGTTTCCAGATGGGGGCCCGACCATTTTGGGGCTTTTAAAAACAAATTGGGAAGCGTGCAATATTTATGCAGCCCTCATCACGTTGTGCTCAACTGCGTTTGAGAGAATGCAGCCAAGTCTTGTGTTTGCATTGTTGCATTTCTTTTTAAAACAATTATTATTATAAATTTTATTGAATATAAACATTAAAAAACAGTGAACTGTATTGTGTTCGTCTGTACAGAAGCCTGATGATGGCAGATGAGATTCTGCCGAAATGTTGCTACAACTCCAAAAGCACAACTACAATGATGTGGGAAAATACCCGAACAAAGCTGAATGCCATACATATAAATACCCGCGAAAACTTAAGAAAACATATATATATATCCCACCAATCCTACCACCACCCAGCACAGATAAACTCCGTGGCCAAAACACTAATCACCAGAACCAAACGCCTGGCAGACAAGACACACATTAAGACTGAACTATGCACCCTGACTAAAGTACTGACAGCCAACGGCTTCCACAAAAGCAAAATCACAGGCCTGATCCACAAAAACACACTGAGACATAATGGAGACCTAGAAGATGAACAGACCTATGGAACAGCTGTCCTGCCCTACATAAGAGGTATTACAGACAAAATCAGTAAGATACTACACAGACATCACATCAAGACTGCCTCCAAAACAGACAGAAAAATAGCAGCCATCCTAAGAAACCCCAAAGATAAAATTGACCTGGAAAACCAAGGCATATATGAAGTCCCCTGTGCATCATGCCCGGCCACATACATTGGACAGACCAATAGAAGAATAAATGAACACAAAAATGCAGTCAAAAATCTGGAACACACTTCCTCACTAGTCCAACACATGAAAGCCACAGGTCATAGCATCGACTTCAATGGCACCCAAACCCTAGCCACTATAGAAAACCCCAGCCGTAGAATTATCAGAGAAGCCATAGAGATTGAAAAAAGACCTGAAAGCATGAATAGAAGAGATGATTCCACCAGACTGTGAATTATTTGGAAGCCTGCACTCACAAACAAAAAAATCTCCACACCACAAGCCAGGCAAACACCTGGGCACAAACAGATCCCCCCCTGATACCTCCAGCTCAAACACACCCCAACCAGGCACCCAGATGAAACCTAGCTTCCTAACAAATGATAGCCGTCCATTTACTCGGAAGCAAGCTGCACTAAAAGCCTCCAATACAGGAACACAATGTTGCCAGCCAATCAAGACACAAAAAACAGCCACAAAACAGACAGAAGATATTAGAAACACCAATCAAGCAGAACACAGTAAACTCCAAGACCAATAAACAGATACCAAGACTCCCAACCAATCAGGGTGAAGAAAAAACCATTCTGGCACAGCAGTAGGCTAGCCCCAAATTTAAAACAGAAACGGCTGTGAAAGTCTGACTCACAGAGGAACACAATACAGAAGCCTGATGATGGCAGATGAGATTCTGCCAAAACGTTGCCAAGATACTCTTAATCTTACGCGGGAAAAGACCCGAACACATCTAGACCTATATATATATAATTTTCAAAAGATATATACATTTATATACATATATACATTTGAGCTTTGTAGTTTTTTTTCTTATTTTTCATCTCTGTCTCATCTCTTCCCTATTTCATCTTGAGTTCTTATTTCAAATTTTGTGAACTCCTTTTCATACCTCTCCAATAGTAACATTTATTCCATACTTTATAGTATTCTAGTTTATCTTGTTCCTTCAATCTGTCCATTTTGGCGCATTGTAATATCTTTTATTGTTGGATTTCTCACAACAGGGAAACAAAACTGAGATTGTGACACTATTTGAATGTGACAGAAAACATGCTCAAGCCCTTTGCAGCCCAAGCAGAATACAAGGAGTCCTTGATTTACGACCACAATCGAGCCCAACATTTCTGTTGCTAAGTGAGACATTGGTTAAGTGACTCCCCAAAGGTGCTTTTTGTCCAAGACTTTCTTGTTTTTCTTGGAAGACGTTTCTCTTCTCATCCCAGAAGCTTCTTCGGCTCTGACAGAATGGTGGGGAATGGAAGGATTTAAGCTCCTTGAAGACAGCTGGTCATTTGCACCCTTTTAGAGGGTCGTTGAGGCCACTTGGAGGTTTGTCTTCATCTATCTAGTTAAGTGAGTTCTGTTGCATTTTACAACCTTCCTTGCCACTGTCGTGAAGTGAATCTTTGCAGTTGTTCAGTGAGTCACCCAGTTGTTAAGTGAACCTGGCTTCCCCATTGACTTTGCTTGTCAGAAAGTCCCTAAGCAGGATCACGTGACTCAGGGACATGGCGACTGTCGTAAATACAAGTCAGTGGCCAAGCATCTGAATAACAGGGGAATGCCGCAATGGTGGTAAGTGTGAAAAAGGGTTATAAGTCCCCTTTTTTTCAGTGCCGTCGTAACTTTGGACGGTCACTCAATGAACCTTTGTAAGTCGAGGATGAACTGGGTAGGGTTTCCTGCTCAAGCAGCGGGTTGGACTAGATCACCTCCAAGGTCCCTTCCAAGTCTTTATCCTTCCTTCCTTCCTTCCTTCCAAAGATTTTTATGAAGACATTGGACAATCCTTTGTCTGGAATGGTCGAAGGTCTCCTGCTCGAGCAGGGGGGTTGGACTAGATGACCTCCAAGGTCCCTTCCAGCTCTGTTCCAATTGATGGAGATTTCTCACTTTTTCCCTGCCCCTAACCCTTGCAGGATAACCCAACAGCAAAGGGTTTTTTTGAAAAAAAAACAACACGGAACTATTTTAAACATCCCGTTGCGATCCAAGCGCGGCGCATCTCGGAGGATCGCAACTGCGCCTCCTTCGTTCCTCTCCGGGCCACAAAGGGTGCGGGGGGGGGGAAACTAATAAAGGAACCCGGAAGTCTCTCCTCGCCGGAGTGCGGGGTGTTTTCCCCCCCCCCTTCTAAACTTTTCACGCTCTATGTGTCCCAAACGCCACGTTCCGGCGTCCCTGGGAGGAAGTGACGCAATTCTTTAGCGACGGGACTTCCGGTCAAACCCGGAAGCGGCCTTGGGCTGTTTTCCTTTCTTCCCCTTTGCGGGGGAATAGACGAAAATGGACCTTCTTAAGGCGGAGGTCGAGCGGAAGCGGAAGCTGGTGGAGGAGAAGGAGCTGCTGGTGGTGAGGAGGGGCGGAAGGCCTACCTCGCAGGGTTATTGTTATGGGGAGATAACAGCCCCCCACCCCACCCCGGGGAGGCTGAAATTCGGATGAATTAGAGCGAGGCATGGCATTCAAGGGGGAAAGGAGCTGGTTTCCCCCCTCCTGGCTTCCCCTTTGGGGCGTATGGAGCCCGGGGAGCCGCCCTTTCCCTGCCTGTCCTACCTTGCAGGGCTGTTGCTATGGGGAGATCGCCTTAGGAGGACCTTTGGAGGAGAAATTCGGATTAATCTGAGCGAGGGTTGGTATCAGAGTTGGGCGTGGGAACACACCACTGTTGCCCTTGGGGTGACGGGAGCCCCAGGGGAGCTGCCCTCTCCCAGCCTGGCCTGCCTCGCAGGGCTGGTTTTTTGGGGGGGCGGGGAGAAGAATCAGGGGATGTGGCCCACAGAGGAAATTAAACCCACATTTAAGGGAGTTGGTAGTAGTAGTGGCCTTTGTTGGCATTGGACATCATGTATCCCACAGAATTGCTTTAGCCTCTACTGGTGCAACCCGTAGCAGAAAATACAGAATATAGAGAATAATCCCTATACAAGCAACTGGGGGTGGGGGGAGAAAAAGAAAACTAGTCAGAATAGAATAGAATAGAATAGAATAGAATAGAATAGAATAGAATAGAATAGAATAGAATAGAACAGAGAAAGAAGGGAAGAGAAGAGAACATAGAAGAGAACAGAATATGGAACGGAAAAACAATAGAAGAGAAGAAGTGAAGAGAAGTGAAGAGAGGAGAGGAGAGAACAGAGAAGAGACAGAATAGAATAGAATATAGAAGAGAATAGAATAGAGAACAGAAGAGGGAAGAGAAGAGAAGATTCCCCTCCCAAGCTCAGAGAGCA